GGTGGCCGGGAGTGGCCACTGCACTCCAGTCTGGGTGACAGAGTGAGACTCCAACTCAAAAAAAAAAAGAAAGGAAAGAGATATTTGCAGTGACAGAACCAGGCAGTTCTGAAAGATGATCCACATTGATTTAGTTCTGAAATAATTAGCTCTAAGGAAATCTCATGTAGAAGCCCAGGGTATCCAGAGTTTCTGGAGTCCCACATGTGAAGGGGGTGGTAGCCTGACCTTGTCTTTTCACCTCTGTGGCAGCCAGCCCCTCAGGGTCTCAGGGACTCTGAAGACTCTGGTCTGTCCCAGAGTGGAAAAGGACCAATCCAGGATGGCATGAGTATCTTTGGTTGAGGCAGGAAGGGAAGCCCAGCTTGTGTGACCCAGGTAGCAAACCCACGGACCTTCTTCACAGTGGAGTGCATGCCCTCAAGCCCCTCAGTACCTCAGCATCATACTTTTCATTGATAGCAGGCTCGGTGGTGACCAGCTTCATCCTATTGGCAAATCTCAGTGAAGAAAGCTGAAAACCAGACCAGGTAGATATCAGATGGCTTCTACCAAAGTGAGACCCCATAGATTAGTCTCAGAGACCCTGCCAGCCCTTTCCTAGCTCTTTGGGCTGCTTTGTCCACACTGGTTCACTTCCCTTAGGGGCCATTGGTCAAAGGGACTCTTGGCAGTGGGGTGGGGAATGGAGCAAGGAGAGCAAGAAGTTGACACAGGGCACATATTGCACCCTGGTCTTCGTTACATAAACAATGAGGATACATATGGAACTATTTCTTTATCCAAACCTGACCATCTTCTATCTCCATGCCTTGTCCAAGTGATCCCAGGCTAAGGGCCATTTCCTTGCTTACACTCTCCGCTTTCCCACATTCTAATTTCCCTCCAAGGCCAGCTAAAAACTACTTCCTTCCTGAAGCCCTCCTGGTTCTCCTTCACATAAAAGGTCTCTGTCCCAATCAGGTTCAGTGCCTCAGCCTGTAATTCCAGCACTTTGGGAGGCCGAGGTGAGGGGATTGCCTGAGCCCACAGGTTTGAGACCAGCCCATGCAACTTGGCAAGATCTCATCTCTACAATAAATCAAAAAATTAGCTGGGCATGGTAGCATGTGCTGTAGTTCTGGCTACTTGGAAGACTGAGGCAGAAGGATCACCGGAGCCCAGCAGGTCCATGCTGGGATGGCCATAAGTGTGCCACTGCACTCTAGCCTGGGCAACAGAGTGACACTCACACTAAAAAAAAAAGTTTTGTCGCTTCCACAAACCACTGTGTGTCCCTTCAAGAGGGTGGCCCTTGCCCTCCTTCACACGTTTTTCAAGGTCTAGATCAGTTATGTCCAACAAAGATATAATGCAAACTACATATGCAAGCATTATTAAATTTTATATTTTCTTTTTCAAGATGTGGGGTACAATTTGGGACTAGGTATACAAGTGGTCATCATACAGATAAAGTTTGGGCCTCTCTTTGGTCCCCACTTCACCTGGTTTGAGATCAGGTACCCTTATTAATGTTGTGTCTCCCCCCCAGTTTTATATTTTCTAGTAGCTGTATTAGAATAGGTGAAAACAAGCAGGTGGAATAACTTTTAATATATTTTATTTAAACTTTAACCTAATATATCAAAAATATTATTTCAACATGTAATCAACATTCAAAGATTATTGAGACATTTTACATTCTTTTTTTTTAGACTAGGTCTTTGAAACCTGCTGTGTATTTTATACTTGTACTGTATCTCAGTCTGGACCAGCCACATTTGAGTGCTCCATAGCTACATGTGGCCAATGGCTGCCATAGTAGACAGTGCAAGGTCTAGCCCCTGAGCAGCATCTGCTCACACTTTACTCTGTTAAGACTCCCCAAGCCATTGCTGAGGGGGCAGATGCTCAGACCCTCTGTGGAATGGACTCTGAGGAAAAGGGCAGTTCTGCTGCATTTCTGGGGCAAGGATCTCCACTCATACATGCTGAGAAACACTGTTGTAGGGCATTGCCCCTCTGGGTGAGGCACCTAGACACAGCCCGCAGGCCTCAGCCAAAAATGTCCTCCCTGCCATCCACAAGGGGTCTCTGGCTGGGAGGATGTGACTAAGTGTGAGCTAAAAGGCCTCACTGTCAGCAGAGATGGGCCCCTACGAGCCTTGTTTGTCCTCAGGGACTTCACTACTGCAGAGCATAAGGCCATGTCAGGACAGGATGGGGTCCTGGACCCCTGCACTCTCAACCATCCTTCAGCATGGCTTATGGCTATCACATTTGACTTCACATCAGACATCTGGGGCCTAAACCTCCCAGACTGTCGCCAGAAGCACCTTGGCCTGCTCAGTCCTTCATTCTGACATCTAATACCAAGGTATGATAGAGCCAGCCCTTTTACAGCTCTTGCTGTGGGTCAGGCTCAGCTCTAAGTGTTTTCAGTGTGTTAACTCATTCAATCCTCACAACTTCTTTTAAGGTAGGAGTATCATCAGCCCAGTTTTGTAAATGAGGACACCGAAACACAGAGAGGTCAAGCAATCCACCCAAGGCCACGGGGCTAGTCAGTGGTAGCACAGAAATTCAGCTCAGACATTCTGACTCCCGAGTCTGTGCTCTTCACTGCTGGGAGGAGGACCTATATGAAACCCTTTTTAGTGCCCTGGGTGGGGGGTGGAGTAAGGCCTGGGAGAGGCCACAGTAGTGTTTTGCCAAGTGATGGGGAAAGGATAAGGGCATCCTAATGGAGAGACAGTGTGCCTCAAGAGTGAGGGAGGTGAGAGCCACGTCAACATTTTGGGGGGACTAAAACAATGAGAGGGAACCACAAGAGCAGGCCCAATGGATGCTGGCAATGGAATGGAGAAGGGCCTTGAATGCCCGGGGAATCCATTTCTCCCACACAGCCAGCAAGTGGCAGGTGTGTGGTGAACACTGAACTTGAATGGACAGAGGCATTGGAATGTACTAGTGAGCCTGTGCTACTCAGTGGCAAAACTGAAAAATTCCACTCAGCAGAGTTATAAAATGTGTGTGTGGTTGGCCTCTGTGTCTTTGGCCCCATCACTTGTGAGTAAAGATATTTACAAAACAAGTGGAAACCACTAGGAAAGACAAATCCTTGCACAGAAGCATGCTCTGGAATAGACTGCGGGGTCTCCTGGGCCCACAGAGGGGTGTCCAGAAGAGGGGCAGCCAGCCTGGGACAATTACAGCTAGAAGCCATCACACAAGCAGACACGGGAAATGGCACAGATGCTATGCCCCACTGCACCACGTTAGACAAGGGGTGGAGGGCTCCTCCTTGGCAGTCCTGAGAGTCCAGCCTCAAACCATGCTGAGACTCATATCTCAGTAAAGGGACCCTGAAATGAGAAAGTAGCCTTGGAGAGGGGCTGGGTCACTCCAGCGAGGCCCTGAGGAAAGACTGAAAGTCCTCTTCCTTGGGCAGTCTGGTCTAGTGGTTCAGAGCTCAGCCACTGATCTCTGCATGACCACCAACAGATACCATACTTCTCTGTAGATTGAGGAGACTTATCCGCAGGGTCACTGGGAGATAGGGATGATGTGTGCAATGTGCTTTGTACAGAGCTGGCCCACACAAGCCCTCAGGAAGAGGCCCTTGTCATTAAAGATGGAGTCAGGCTCTCCTGCTCCAAGCACAGCAGCAAGTGTGGCCACTACTCCATGCTGTGGTTACACACACATGTGTATGTCATTGCATAAAGCAACCCAATCCATGACAGGAACATTATTAGAGTTTCAAAACATTTCATAAGAGAATGATGAGCTTCCACACCCCTAATGTCTCTTTGTCCCAATCCCCCAAGATGCATCCAACAACTTCTCAGGGCTCTGTGGGTTCAGTCCTAGGCAGAGACCCCGAGTGGTATGGGAACAAGCCCTTGGGGACTACAGGTACCAGGAGAGTGGCTTCCTGTGCTGTGACCATCTCTGGAGTGGGGATAAAGGGAGTCAGGGAGCTTCTACTGTCTTGGAGGACATCTTTCTCAACAAGGCAGCCAGGAGGCCTGTTTCTTGTGGCTCCTCTTGGGGTTCAACCGCGCTTTATTATGCCATGAGACCAGAAGGTTCCTGAAACCTACCCCTGGGGATGCTGCCTGCACATAAGCTGAAGCTCGCTTCCCTGCTTACCAAGTCCCAGGGTGGCAAATGTGTGGCAGGAGTCCTCTCCCTGGAAGCTGGGACAGTCCCTAATGCACACAGCTGGGAGGCCCTGCAGGTGTGTCTTGCCTGGTGGCATTCCTGGAAATGACCTGCTTCACCTAAGTGGATTCCCCAGATGACTGAAGCTTACCTTAAACATCTACACATGAAAAGTAAAATGTCTAATGACAGTTTTCCAAACCTGTTTTATGTAGGATGGGTGGCACTTCTGAGGAAGGTGGGAGAAGCTCAGACTGGAGGTGCCCAGCTGTATAGACTTACCTGTGTCTCTGTGCTGGATTCCTATTCCTGCCTCTGATTCTCCCCTCCCCAAGGCATCCGTGTCCTACCACTGGGTTAATCTCTCTGAGTCACGCCTCTGACCACAGCCCTCCTCTACTCAAACCCTGTGGCAGCTGCAGTCACTTACAGGAGAACAGCCAAGTCCTTAGCCTGGCTACCAGGGCCCATCCAGCCCCTGAAATTTCTCTTCTCTTTCCTGTGCCTGCTCTGCAGTAGGCAGAGCTTTTGGGTGAGTCTCACCTCCAGTCCCTGATACCTCTGCCAGGAGGTACCTCTGCCAGGACATCCTCTGCTCAACCTGCCACCACTTCCTCAACTCCAGCCAGCTCAGTGCCCACCTTTCCCCACCCCAGCTTCAGGGAAAATCTCCCCTCATCCCCCTCACCAATAGCATCCTCTGAAGGTCTTCTCTCCATCTGGGTCTCACATTACTTAGGTCATGGCTTCACTCTCTTCCTGGTTTGGGAACTCTGAGGCCCAAGGCCATGTATGACTCGTTTGTACTGAGCTGTCCCCCTTACCACTGAACACATGGCAGGTGTGTAATACCTATAAGGTTCATGCCAGCCTTATAGCCACAGTCTGGAAGCCTGTGGTGCTTTCAAGATGTTTAAACATGTGTGATTATGAAGTACAAGTGATCGACTGTCCTTCTCAATCCCAATTCACAGGAGCAGCACCCCAGAAAACCTGGTCCACACAGCTAGCTCTCAGTCATCCCTCCTTGTGTAGTCCCTCACCCCAAGTTTGCCTCCTGCCTTGCCCTCTGCCTCTCCACAGCTTACTGCTCGGTGTTTGGATCTTGACTCTGAGCCCCCCTCAGCAATTGTTCTCATGCTCATCCCCTGGGTCCCTCCACTCTTGCCAATAATTGGCCTGTGGCCACTGTGCCAGTTTAGCCAGCATGGAACCAGCCTCTCCCTGCCCTGGCACTCATGAGGAGGGATTCCAAGCTGGTCATATTGCTCTCTTCACATACCGTTTCTTCTAACTGGGCAGCTTCTCCATAGATGTTTGTCACAAGGACCATATTGCAGTTTCCCCCTGCAGAAATCAGGACACAGAAGGGCCATAACCATGTGGTTTTTTGCCAAGTGACTCCCTTGGGGCTGGTGGGGTCTGTTATGGACTGAATGTCTCTGTCCTCACAATATTCATATGTTGAAGCCCTAACCTCCTGTGTGACAGTATTCGGAGGTGGGGCCTTTGGGAGGTAATTAGGTTTAGATAAGGTCATGAGGGTGAGGGCTCCATGATAGGACCAGTTTCCTTATAAGGAAAGAAAGACTAGGGTCTTTTCTTTCCATGTGAGGATGTAGAGAGAAGGTGGCCATCTGGAAGCCAGGAAGAGGGCCCTCACCAGGAATTGAATCTGCTGGCACCCTGATCTTAGACTTGCCAGTTTCCAGTGGAAAACAAATATCTGTTCTTTAAGCCACCTAGTCTATGGTATTTTGTTACAGCAGCCTAAAACAACTAAGACAGGACCAGAGAGAACATATCCAAGCAAGTATAAGGCAGGGAGGTAAGGGGAGGAGAGAGGGAAAGTACGAGGCTACCAGATATACCTAAAGGAAGAGCTAGGAGAGAACAGTAGAGGAGACATGGCAGGGCAGGGAGAGGCAGAGCCGGGAGACAGGTGCGAGCCAGGGCTTTGCTCATGGAGGCACCTGTTAGCAATCAGACACTAGTGATTCTGTTGTCAGGCTTAGCATGAAGGCCTGGGTTCATGGGGATGATAAGATACAGCCCCTGCTACCCTGTCCAGGAGGCTGCAGGGGAAGAAAAGACATCATGGGAGAAGCCCTCTTTCTGGGTCTTCAGGGCTATAAAAGATTCTTCCAGCTGGCTTAGGGTTAAGGGGAAAAGAAAGGGTGTTCCCAGAGGAAGTAAAAGCTTAAGTAAATGTTCTGAGGGGCAAACAGCATGGCATGTTCAGGACACAAGAAGAGGGCACTGTGCTTGATTCTGTCTTTTCAGGTGTGTCTCAAGTCACTGTGAAATGGCTGCAGATAAGTCCATGCCACCAGGAGGGAGCAATTCTGTTATCACCAGTAGCAGACGTGCCAGGCCTATCCTCCCCAGGGACAACAGACCCTCCTACTTGGGCACCAACCACACCACCTCACCTAACGAGTCCTTCAGGGCATGGGTGAGCTTGCACTGCCGGAAAGGGATGTGGTCCCGCTTCTGGTCTCCGAGGGCAATGATGGCCTGCTCCAGGAATGACAGCGACTTGTTGATGTAGGTGGCTTCCTTCAGGACTCGGCCCTCAGACTACAAAACAAAGGTCAGTTCTACTTTGGATGGAATGGAGGGGTTGCCCCCACTAAAAATGGCTGCCCTCCTGGTTTGGGGTGATGCTGTAAGTCTGTGGTCAGGCCAGAGCCTCTTTCCCAGAACCAGGGTCTTCCTCAATGTCATGGGATTTTACTCCATCTTGGACAAATAATGGCAATGCCAAAACTCATATGAATAAGTGAACATTCATGAGAATATTCATGTGAATATGAATACATACATGAATATCCATATGAATACTCAAAGTTTCACACTAACATAAATACTTGTATAGTACTTGAGCAAAGAATCCTGTGACTATTCACACAAACACTCATATGAACACACACAAATACTCATCTGAATACTTTAGTGAATACTTGTGCTAATACTCACACACATATTTATTTAAAATAAAAAATATTTATTTGAAATAAAACGCTCATGCAAATACTCATGTGAATACTCATATTCATACACAGAGAAATGCCAGCATGCAATATTTACTGAGCACTTACTGAGTGCCAAGTACCTTGCTAGGAATTTAGGGGGCAGTATCTCATTTAAGTTTACCCGAATTAGCCAGGCACAGTGGCTCAAGCCTGTAATCCCAGCACTTTGGGAGGCCAAGGAGAGAGGATTACCTGAGCCCAGGGATTCGAGACCATCCTGGGCAACTTGGTGAGACCTCACCTCCACAATATATCAAAAAATTAGCCGGGCATGGTAGTGTGCACCTATAGTTCTGGCTACTTGGAAGGTTGAAGTGAAAGAATGGCCTGAGCCCAAGCGAGTCGACCCTGGGGTGGTTATGAGTGAGCTATTGCACTCCAGCCTGGGCAACAGAGTGAGACTCTGACTCAAAAAAATAAAAATAAAAATAAAGTTTACCCGAATCCTTTGAGATAGAAACTGCCCTTTGGGTAATAGCCATCCCACCTGCACTAATTCTGTCCCTCTAGCAAGCCCACATGCTCCACTTTGCCTAGCTCAGGACTGTACTCACAAATACTCTGTGAGAGACAGCCCATGTACGCAGGTACTATGCCAGAAACAGGGCACATGAGTGGTTGATAGCAACATCTTGCCCCCACCACTTACCCCAGACTTCCCCAGCCTCTCTGAGCCTGCCAGATCCACCAAGTTAATTTTGGAAGTGATGTACTTTTCATCTGATAAAGTTCGAGAATGGGCCTACAAAACATCCAGACAGAAGTTAGACTGTCACAGGGAGAAGATTCTTATTAGCACGCCCCTGGAAACTGATTGCCCCTCCTGGGATGATCAAAGAGCTTGCACCTACCTCCACATAGATGGTGAAAATGCAGTGTGATCTGGAAGAATTTTTGTTCATTGTGTGGGAGGCAATAATCCTATTAGTCTCTCCCTGAAGAGGAAGAGAATCATAAATGACATTTTGAAAAATTAAAATAATAAGGCATCTGGGTCATATTTCAATTCCACCAATAGTTACACAGGTGCCCTCATATCACTGCAATCAGCTGGATCTTCCAGGGAAACCTCTTTTATAAACTACTAGAAAGGGAGGTGAACTAGAGTCTGTATCTATACTTTCACCCACTGTTGGGGATGTACAAATTCTCACAAACTTTTGGGATAGGTTCTATTAGTGGCTCCACTTTTAGCAAACTGGGACTAGGAGAGATTAATTATTTGCTTAGAACTAAGGCTTCATAACTTTAAAGAAACCTGAATTAAATCCCAAATCCTCTACCTTTTGCACTGATCTATCCTCAGCCCAAAACATGAAGGAGGCATCCATTTTCAGCAATATAATGGACTGAGTATTCAGAAACCCTCTTACTGCAAAGCACCTGAAATTGATGGGTAGAATATTTAAAGCTTCTTTTTGAATAAATGCCTGAGGCTGCAAAAAAGTAAAAGAATTACCCAGGAGTGAGACACAAAGTGGGAGCAGGAATTCAGGAACTGCAGGTAAGAAGCAAGGTTTTTATTGTCCTGAGGGCACCTGCAGACTGGTGCTGAAAGGCAGTTCTCTCTGGATGATTTCTCTCTGTTGCTCTGAGCAATGACACTAACATGTTATAGATGGAGAATGTCTCCTTTCCCCCCTAAAGTCATTTACTCTTCACATTCTGAGAGTGGTAGACCTATCTCCTCCTCCAACTCCTTCCATCCCCCTTTCCCCCTTCCCACTCAAGCCATCTGTTCCCGCTCAAAAGGCGATAAAATTTATCTTCTTCTCCCAGAGCCAAATGCTTACATTCCAAGTTAGAGACTTTCCCCTTTTCCCAAAAGAGGATTTGCTTACTCCAAAATAAAAGCATGCTTTCTGCCATTCTGCCTTCTCTCCCTCCCTTCCTAGACCCCTCAATTTTTTTTCTCTATTCTGACAGAGGGAAAGCAAGGTAGATGTGCCAGCTTCTATATAAACTCTGGGATTCATAATTTTGGAGTTCCTCTCCAATAGTACATACACCTGCCTCCTCCAAAAACATGTCATATCTGCCCTCACTAGGTTGCTCCCTGGTGGGTTGGATATAAAGATCCCATGCTATGCTAGCCACTATTACTGCTGTGAGGTTATGAGTAGTAAAGGTCTGATTTCTAATTCAGAGGTCTAGTGTTTCTCTCCAACCCCCTGCCCCCTGTCCCCATCCCCACAAACTGTTGTTCTGAGCAATGAAACAGACATGTTATAAAGATAACATGTCTTGGGGGGTGTGTGTGTGTGTGTGTGTGTGTGTATGTGTGTGTGCGCGCGCGCGTGTGTAGGAGGATTCAACACCTGTTAATTCAATCATGCAGGTGAAGGCAGAAAAAACTTTGGTTGCACTCAAGGGAGGTATCTACTAATCCATGTCCTTGAAGGCTATTGTCTTTGGCAAAGGAGAAGTAGAGGAAAATCTGATGCAGAAAGTGGAGAGCAAGAAAACTATGTCTGTCAGCATGGGCATTGTCTCAGAAAAGAAGGGGTAAAAGAAACATGTGTCCAAGACGTCACAATCCCAACCTCGACCAAACACAACACTGGGGCACAAGTACTGTATATGCTTCTTTCAAGTTCTGACAATGTTAAATTAAACAAGTGATTTGAAGAGGTCATGGATTAGTAATGTCCCTTAGGGTCCTAACCCCAAAACAAAACAAAACCTCCCTAAAGTCCTAAAGTGCTCTTTAAAATCCTCTCTAAATATATTCTCAACCCAAGTCTCAAAGAATGCCTACTGACAAAGGCCCACGGGAGCAGAGCATATAATCCAATCACAAAACACTTGGAAACAGGACACCCTAAGAGTCAGTTGAAACAACAACTTCAGAACCAATCCTCAAAAAAAGTGTAATTCCCTGGTGTGGTGGCTCATGCCTGTAATCCCAGCACTTTGGAAGGCTGAGGCGAAAGGATTGCCTGAGTCCAGGGTTCAAGACCAGCCTGGGCAACTTGGCAAGAGCTCATCTCTACAATGAACCAAAAAATTAGCCAGGCTTGGTGGCACATGCCAATAGTTCCAGCTACTTGGAAGGCTGAGGCAGAAGGATCACCTGAGCCTAGCAGGTCGAGGCTGCAGTGGCTATGAGCATTTACTGCACTCCAGCCTGAATGACAGACTGAGAATCCAACTAAAAAAAAGTGAAATTATTAGGTAAAAAATATAAAATAACAATGTTTACTATGTTTCAAGAAATAAGAGGGGAACTTCGCAGCAACTTGGATGAACTTAGAGTCTATAATATCTATGAGTGATCTATCACAGAAACAAAGAACTGAGTACCATGTGTTTTCACTCATAAGTGAACCTTGAACAATTATTATAATTCTATAAGAAAGGAATTGGCAGTAGTGGGAAACTGCTGGGGGGGAGCACCTCATCAACAAGAATACCTGCGTAATGAACATTTGTATACCTAACCCCACATCTTCAAAATTAAAAATAAATAAATAAAAAGGGAACAAAAACATTAAAAATAAATACAATTCTATCAAAATTAACTAGTAGGAATTTTTTTTTTTAAGTTGGCATCTTACTCTGTCACCCAGGAGTGCAGTGGCACACTCATGGCCACCCCAGCATTAACCTGCTGGACTCCAGCGATCCTTCCACCTCAGCCTTCCAAGTAACTGGAACTACAGGCACACGCTACCATGCCTGGCTAACTTTTTATTTTATTGGAGAGACAAAGTCTTGTCAAGTTGCCTGGGATGGTCTCAAACCTGTGGGCTCAGGCAATCCACTTGCCTCTGCCTCCCAAAGTACAGGGATTACAGGCTGAGCCATTGAGCCTAGCCACTAGTAGGATTTTTTAAAGAATAAATGAGAACTTTTGGAAATGAAAGTAATATGGTACTTAAATTTAAAGAGATTAGATACTAATCTGCTGAAGAGAGAATTGGGAAATTAAAAAATAAATCTGAAGAGATTATCAAGAATAGAGCATAGAGAGATAAAAAGATAAATAACACGAAAAAGAGTTAGAGACATGGAAGGCAAAACAAGGATAGTATGTCTACTCAGAATTCCAGAAGGAGATAACTTAAAAAAGAGAGAGAGAAACAATATTCAAAAGAATTATGGCTGAGATGTTTTTCAGTTGATACAAAAGACATGAATCTGCAAATTCATGAGGTGTAAAATAGCAAGTATAGTGTTTTGGGGTTTTTTGTTTTTTGTTTTTTTTTGAGTTGGACTCTCACTCCATCGCCCAGGCTGGAGTGCAGTAGTGTACTCATGCATGGCCACCCCAGCATCAACCTGCTGGGCTCAGGCGATCCTTCCGCCTCAGCCTTTCAAGTAGCCAGAACTACTGGCACATGCTACCACACCTGGCTAATTTTTTATTTATTTATTGTAGAGATGAGGTCTCGCCAAGTTGCCCAGGCTGGTCTCAAACCCATGGACTCAGGCAATCCCCTCACCTCGGCCTCCCAAAGTGCTGGGATTAAAGGCTTCAGCCACTGTGCCCAGTCACTAGTATAGTTTTTAAAAATCTGCACAGGCCAGGCTCAGTGGCTCAGCCTATAATCCTGTGCTTTGGGAGGCTGAGGTGAGTGGATTGCTTGAGCCTGCGGGTTCGAGACCTGCCTGGGCAACTTGGCGAGACGTCATCTCTACAATAAATAAAAAAATCAGCCAGGCGTGGGAGCGCACACCTGTAATTCCAGCTACTTGGAAGGCTGAGACATAAGGATCACCAGAGCCCAGCAGGTCGAGGCTGCAGTGACTAGGAGCAGCCACTGCACTCCAGTGTGGGTGACAGAGTGAGACTCCAACTCAAAAAATAAAAATAAAAATAAAAAATAAAAAATCTGCACAGTACATACATCATAGAGAAATTGCATAATGACAAAGATACAGAAAAGACATAAATGCAACAAGAGAGAAAAGAGAGATCATCCACAAAGAAACAGCAGATAGACTGAAATCTGGCTTCTCAAGAGCAACATTGGAAGCTGAAGACAATGAACTACCAACTTTACAGTAATGAAAAAAATTACTATCAATCTCAAATTCTAAACCTGCAACACAGTCTTTCAAATGAGGATGAGTTGTCTCCAGAAATTGTATACTAGATTATGTGAACATACTCTTCTATTGAAAAAAAACAAAACAAAACATAAAAGTGCTTGACAAAATATTCTTAAAGTCATCTTAAAAATACTAACAAAATAACAAAATAGTAGAACACTGTCAGGCCCAATTCTGGAAGAATCCTGTACCCAGAAAAATAATGATAGGAGTAGATACTAAGGCTGTTTTTGCCCTGAGGGTACTTGTCAATACCAGAAGACTTGTATTTTAATAAGTGAAATAATAGTCAAAGCCATGGATGGCCCAAATTGAAGAATCATAGAGATAGAGGAGACCCCCCATCCAAATACATACACATTAAGCTGAAACCCCCAAGACTCCACCTTCTGGGTATGGGAGAAACCAAGTTAAACCTAGTCCCAACATCAACCCTAGAGAACTGTAGAGAAGGCTGCTTTAGCATTGGAGAGGGAAGAAACAAAAAAGCAAAGCAAAGCAAAATAAAAACATCTCCCTGAGAAGTTATGACCCAGTCTGGTGGGTCAGAGAACCGAAAGCTATGGCCTTGGGTAAGATAGTCTCTGATCGACATTGTTTTCACATACTCTAGTAGAGCAAATTCAAAACCTCTCTGGTAGATAGCACATTTTCCTTAGGCCTTTGAAAATGTCCACAAACAACTTTTCATAGCAATGACCAACACACAGTCAAAGATAAATAGGCACACAAAGAAACAAGGAATTGTGACAGTGAATGAACAGAAAATCCCAGAGACTTCAGCCAATGGAATCACCAGATATTATATAATTATACTTAGCATGTTTAAAGAAGTAAATCACAAGTTTGAAATTATATACCAGAAAAGTATAAAATACAGTAC